TCGTGCAGTTCACTCCTACTTGCTCCTTGTTTCTCTCTCTTGCCTCCCCTCTCATCCCAAACATCTTGGCCTGGTAATCCCTTCCCCCCTCCTCCTTTTCCGACCAGGTGCTACTTAATCATTCTTCCTGCTCATCTTTAGTTGCTCCCACTTTGTCCGTTATGGGGACATCCGTTCGAGCATCCTTTTCCCGGTCATCCTCTTCTCTCTTCCCATTCCTGATTAATTTTCCACACATTATATCCACGATTCTACTCTCCTATCCTGTGGTGTGCTAGGGGTCAAATTATGTATATATTTAATACGAACGAATAACTTACACCTATTCGTCAGTCTACTAGTGAATGAAGTCCTACGATGCATGCGTTGTCGGTCATGGGGTTTATTGACCGTACTTCACTATGCCGAATCAGTGCGGGTGATTCAATGGGGGACCCCCGACTGGTTCAAATCTCACTCGCCACCCACGTTAACCATGGTAGGGAATCGAACTCAGGTCCCTGGCTTTATATTGCATTGCGCTGAGCTACGCGTTTCACATGGTGTACTACGTATATACGTGGAGAAGGGGGTTATGGCGCAGTAGTTAGCGTAGTGCGCTACAAACCCGGCGACATGACTTCGTGTTCTCGCTCACGGTCAATGACCGTGATTAATATTTGAACCGATCCTGGTCATCCCTCGGTCGATTCAGCCTCGAATGAGTACCTGGGGCGGTGTGTAAACGTCAGCACTGGGAATACAAAGGCGGTCGGGCGTGGTGTTGGTCACCCACCCCCTTGTGTACCGTGCCAGCCTCCATAGGTACTTGCTAACAGCACTTGCTCCAACGGTCTGTTCAGGCTATATAACTTTAAAAAGGTCCATTTTAAACGGAGGACACATTTTTTTGAGTGTTTGCCATCCTTTTCGCGCGCAAAATATCGCCTTTTCCAGTTGAATTATCTCCGGTTTTATTTTAGTGGCAACATTCCACATGGTTATGCGATAAAATATCAAATGACAAAAAACACCCTGAGAGATGTGGACAGTGCAGCTGATATCTGACCGCAAAATCAACAGACTAGAAATGGGTAGGTAGAACATCGCTGTAATAACAGCAATTATCCTATTTTGCGGCCTTACAGGGCTTTGCTCTGGCATTAGACTTAAGTGCCATGGAATTTCAATTATGTGTTTCTTACAACACCTAATAGAAAAGGAGATAAATGCAGGTGTTTGGAGTCAGCGGAGTATGCGACAGGGTGTGTAATAGGAAACCGATAGATTCGCTGAAGCTGCACGTCTCTTCTCCATTAATCTTGTCTCCCTCCGACCCTGTAAAATCAGAAATCGAATTTAGCAGAGTCGTCTTCGGCTTGCTCTGGCCTGTTCCTTCCGGTAAATATCTTGTAATGACGGCCCGGTAATAGCAATCTCCAATACGGTGAACTGAATTACTCGATCATGAGCATTTGTCAATGTAAAATTGATGATTTTCAAGACCAGCTTTGTAAGTAGACAATTTACCTCGTGCGTTTGCTTCACGAGACGGCAGGGTGACTTTGGGCATATCACATTGAACACATCTTATAACTAATTAATTGAACGTTGGGGAGAGAATGCTTTTTCTACGATCCCAGTTAAATCCCACCCCCCACCCCCATCCCCTCCCCCTCAAAAAAAGTAACAATTTTTATTTATTTATTCTGTAATTATTTTTGGCTATCACAAGCCCACAATACAAGTTTACATCAACCTGGAAAGCAATTGCAGAAGGTGAGGGAAATTACAGTCATTAATAACTGCCAGATATGGGCTCAATTTCAAGCCTCAGTGGACAAGGCGTTGCATCCTGACCCACTGCCTCCACCGCGTACTGCCGCTTGCTGGATCAGAGGTGCTGCCACCTTTAGTGTAATGGAGAGGAAATTGATGTTGGCACGCGGTGCCACAAACTAGGACGTTGCACATGTGACCTTCCGAGAAAACGCGTGAACTCCTCTTTTCTGCCAGTCGCATTTCAATTACAGAATGTCACCAACCTTGGTGAGCGGGGTTGTGCAGATAATGCAAGTGTTCTTCGATCACGTCGGGGCACAGAAGTTCTTGACACGTGAAGTTACAAATTGTGACCTTTGCCGTTATCGTAGCCTATTAAAATTAATTGTCAAAATTATTTACAAACATCAGCTTTTACAGAGCTACTGATGATTAGAGAACACGAATAATAAGTCGAGGCATATGTAAGCACAACTCTGTTCTCTGTCTCCACATGCAAGTAAACTTAATGTTTTAGCGGGGCGGTGGTGATGCACGCCTGTAACCCAGCACTGTGGAGGCAGCGAAGGTTGGTGGATAACGCGAAATGTTGTGAAACTCCCTGCCCGGGGTCGTTAAGGACTCGGTTGAAGAACATGGAGACTACCTCTGTTGCATCTCTATTGGATAGAATGTTTCCCTCTCGCGCGTGTGTTTTTTTTTTCTCTGGGTGCTCCAGTTTTCTATAAGTAAACACTTCTGAATTGGCCGATGACGCCTGAATATATAGAGGACCGCAGAGCTTGGGTGGGGGAGTCCATCGGCCTATTGGCTTACCAGACCGATATTATCTGGCAGCATTCGCTTAAGCAAGCAAATCCAGGACTGGTTTTGACCTTCTGAGTCTCATCAGCAGGCTCAGGCTTGGTTCACCAATGCTGCTGGGTCACCAGATGTAATCACAGAGAGCACATTCGTCGAAATGATGAATGGGCTCTCTACGTTTACTCCCAACTACACAACATACCTAACGTCATCTGGAGCCCAGGAGCAAATAATCCCAGGAGAGTTTGTCCTGTAAGCTAAATAACAACAATATATATTCTTGGTTCTTTCGGTAAAGTCACGTTGAAGGGAAACAATAAAATAATAATATATAAAACAATAAAATTCTCACGACGTTTCGACTGTAACACAGTCATCATCAGGTGTGAAAAAACCAACGGCAAGAAACATTCGGACCGCATTCGTGAACACAAAGCAGACCTAAAACACAGTAGCACCAACACCTCGGCCGTGGCAGATCACTGTTATAATTCAGTAGGCTCACATGACATTGACTTCTCCAAGACAGAGGTTCTTTGTAAGCCATCTGGCTACCATGAGAGATTCGTTCGTGAGGCTATCCACATATACAAACAGAAACTATTTCAACCGAGAAGATGGATTCTGGCTTAGCAATCATTGGAAGGATTTGATAAACCATTTCAGGTCTTAATTGATTGTTCATGCTTACGGTGGTTTTCAGACAGCATACATTAAATTTTCGTCTTCCCCCTCCTCTTTTCCGAACATAGATGGACTCGTCCTTCTAAACAAACTGCCAAATCGCTATCCGTGGCGCTGACGTTTTTAAATAAATAAAACACAAACACCGCTTGAAAATAAGTAAATAAAACCAACGTTTGAAAGTAAATTAATAAATACAAACCGCCACTTCTTTCAAATGTTTCTTGCCGTTGGTTTTTTCACACCTGATGATGACTGTTTGTGTTACAGTCGAAACGTCGTGAGAATTTTATTGTTTTATATATATTATTATTTTATTGTTTCCCTTCAACGTGACTTTACCTAAAGAACCAAGAATATTAATCACTGCAGTCACGAAAGCTTTAAATCAAAACAACAATATAGTTAATTTCTAACAGATTATGATTTTAATAATGCCAACGTGTTGTGCATTTCTGTAATGTACTGCCCTAGCAGGATGCAGTGAATCGTGCGAGCATTTGTAGTGGAACGAACATAAAATCAACAGCTGCAACAACAACGATACCAAGAGCAGCAACAACACCGTTTCGCAGTTCCTTAGGAATTCAGAGTTTGCTTCCATCGGCGATGACTGCACACACGCACAACCTTCAGCGGTGCACGAGCGCCTTTCACAGCGGCTGAGCAGAGGACAGAGATTTATTGGCTGCTGTTGGGAAGACAGATGGGGCCACATTACCCGTACATTTCGCCGGGTGCAAAAGCCTCTTCAGGAGGAGTACGCTCCACTACGGCAATATTCCGACCTTTTTCACGGAATCGCAGCCGCAGTGCTCTTCGTGGGGGGGGGGGAGGGCATTGATGTTGGTTTGTGTAGGATGGCTCACTGAGAGCAATGCATGTGAAGAGCTGTGCGACATGTGGAGCACGTATGCAAGTAATACGTATGTAAATCGGTGCTGGAAGGGCATTCCGTTTCATGTTGATGAAACATAGACTACGCGAATTAATCGGAAGAATGTTTCCCTCCGCAGCTGAATAACGACCACTGTTACGTTTTGTTATCACATATTCCGTCCCATCGAGCTTGGAACGTTGGCCTGGTTAACTGGGGTATTGTCAACGCGAGTACGCCAATTGTACTGATAACATTAGGTCATGCTAGAAAGTTGTGTGCCTTTGATTTTGTCCATAATTGCCTGCTTAGACGTATTTAAAAAAAAAGACATTACGCCACAGTAAAATGTTTATTTTTCCCCCCAAGGCGTTTACAGTAGATCGCCTGGGTTGTGATGCATTAGTATGCCGTGACGGGTCTGGTGTTGGGGAAATAGACACTCTTGATGATCAGTTCCAGAACATTGCAGTCTTCATCAGACTGGGAATTGATTGACGCTCCATTAACCGGCACTGCCACGTGATAACGGAGAGAGATCATTAATAGCTACCAAGAGGCTGACAACAACTACAACAACAACAACGACGAGTTTGCCAGCAATGAAACTGCTCATGGCTTGCCACAGGCAAGGGATGCTTATTTATATGGAATACTCTACTGTATATGCAAAAATAATATTGCTGAAATCGCTTTGCGCATGAGGTGTTATACGTAAAAGTAATTACCTGCTGTGTTATGCTGAGTCCTTCAAAAGATCTCCGTTGGTATTGTTGCCCTTACAAAAATGTACAAAATGTTCTATAGCAATATTCATTTATTTGCCCTTCATACGTAAGGCATTTATAATGGGATTAAAAAAAAAGTAAAATAATGATGTCAATGATTCGTCATTTATTCAACACTTTCTGTCGACTCAGACACACACGTTCCACGGCAGCAATGAATGTTTGCATTTCAGCATCACCAATTCAAAACATAAGCGATTAGCAATAGCCCAATTGAAATTACATAAACCATGTTACTCCAGGCTCCCATACAACAAGAAATGTAGCTATCAGCATGGACTTGCTTTGGTCTCAGTGGCTTAGCGCGCACATATTCGCATCCAAGTTGAAAACACTAAAGCAACGATCACTATTCTCACACATTATTCGTAATCCAGCGGATTCATTATTCCGTAGCTACATTTCAATATATTTCAATCACATATTATTATTTGTGCAAGTAGAAAACATATGATATGATAACGGAACCACGTTCATATTAAGCAAATATCGCAAATGCATTTAAGTTAGGAGCACTTTACAATCAGGCATCAACAACAAATTGCACACTGACTACAGTATTATGTCAAAGAAATCACTATCAACGGTATTACTATCATGGCAGTTGCATTTCCATATTTAATGTATTCATGAGTTCATCTTAATGCACGGATGAGATAAAAATGGATTAACGGTCTGTGGAATGGAATCTTTCCTGAACAACAGTGGCATCAGATAATACAGTATATTTTCACATTAGCATTTTGTGTGAGGTGGTCGTAATGGATTTTGTAAGATGAGCATCTTGAAAAATAAGGGGGGGCATCTCCAATATATATAATGCCATTGTGTCCAATAAGACTGTCGTTTCTTGCCTATCAACTAAGCGATAGCACTATATCTATATCTGTAACAGAAGAGTTTTTTTAATTTACTTCTAAATAACAAGGTGTTAAAATGTTAAATTGGTAGCCAGTCGCGTAGATGCGTAAACGACGCATAATTTCCACACGATAAGACTGGGGTTTCAGTTTACCAATTCATATTTTCGTCCACGTGATCCAGTTGTATTGAAATTGACTGACAAGTGGCTTTCGCATATTTTTTTCTCACACTTTCTCTTGAGAATAAACAAATCGCAGCCAAACACATAACACGCGGCAAGAAACAATCTATAGTGGCCTCAACGCTGTACAGGCAGTTGGCCCTCACCGTGATACTTTAACGATTTTTTTCTAAATTAAAATTTTCGTATGGTAATCACAGCAACCATGAAAGACGGTGGTTCAGCAGCAGCAGCAGCAACAGCGGCACATTTTGTTGTTGTTGTTGTTCTTAGCATATAAGCTCTCTCTATGATGCGGCGTCGGCGTTACGACGGATGGCGACGTCTTTCCGCACCACAGGAGCCGCCGCGGGCTTCACATCTCCTTGTAGTTGGCGCGATCCTGCTGCGGCTGAGCGGAGCCGCTGAGCCGGTGCTGCAGGTGATAGACGCCGATGATGACGACGATGAGCAGGCCCAGGGCCAGCCCCAGAGCCAGCGGCAGGGTCTCCTCGAGGCTCTCACGCTGGTCGACCGTGCACTGGCTCTCTGCTCACAGCCGACGAGGGTCGGGGGGGGGGGGGGGTGGTGGTGGGGGGGTGGTGGTGGGGTGGGGAGCACGCGATTATAGGGCTCGCAGCGATTAAAATAACCAATCATCGCAGCATAACGGAACTAATTACACGATATCATTGATGACATTGTTCTGTTTGAAATGTAACATTTTCAGCAATTACTATGTCAGTTATTAGTTAACCCAAGTGAAGCCTCGGTCAAGGGGAAACCCGGTGGCGCATGACCTTGCTTGGGGGAAAGTGGGGGGGCTACATGCAAAAGCTCACGGGGGCATGACACAGTGGCGAACAATCTTTAAATAAAATGCTTAAACACGAAACAGAATGAGTAATTATATCACGTGTTTTTTTTCTTCAATGAATTCTGCTCGAGAACTCAACCCCCCCCCCCCCCCCCCAATAAATATGGAAATGCCCACGAGTGGTGTAAAATGATGTAGCCCCGTTGTTTGGCTCGACAACGCTCGTGCAGCACGCCTACGGCCACGTGGCGATGGGTGCCACAGCTGGCGATCCTGAGCCACCGTTGGATTTTTCACATTACTTGTGGTGGAGTCCAATCGGACCCACTTTCACGCGGCACAGAGCACTATTACACCGTGATTTTATGCCGAGCCTCCAGACATCAGCCCTACAACATAATTTATAAACGCGAAGCCAAGGCTCTGACCCTTTATGCAATAGTTTTTATTTATATATATATAGGCCTCACAGTAGTATATCTGTTAAATCTCTGGATGAACTGGAAATATTCGCTCCATGGTCCACTGAGCGTGACGTTGTCTGCCGGTGCAGATCCCCTAGCGGCATTGTCAATGTAAACGCACTCCGACAGCGAGGCATGTCAGCTGATCCTCTCTAGAATGCAATCGTGGAAGGCACGGGCAGAACATGGACTTCGTGAGCGAGGTCACCGAGGAATTTCAGGAACTTCGTTGCCCGCCCCATGACCTGGATATTTGCACAGCCATCGGAAGAATGTATACAGTTGCATTTTCCATGCTGTTTGGATGCATAGCCTCCCATCTTTTGCTTAACCCATAAGTTAAAGGTATGCTGGTAACTACTTTGTTTTATCTTTAACCTACGGCACATATGTACAGCCCACTTGTGAATGCATTGTTGTATGAAGGTCTCCCCCATGTTGTGGTGGGTTGTGTGGGTTATCCGACCATAATTCACCGCGCGGGTCCATCAATGTTGGTGAAGGTGCAAATCATAAAGTTGTTGGCAAATGCAAAGCCCAATACAAATAAATGAATTATCCAGGCTGCACTTTTAAAACCCAGACGTTCCTGGGTAAATAAATCATTATACTATTGCAATTATAAGAAGTGTGCTGGTCAGTCATGAGTGTCATTAAATTCGAAACCACGCATACATGTCTACGTTTACCCTGTGTTAAATGTTTTTGTATTGAACTTTTCTTTACAAATTTCATTTGATTGTTATCACATTTAAAATGAATTAATCGAACGGGACAAATGTACTCTTAACGTTGGGGAAATAATTTTAATTGGTCGTGAGTGCATACAAAAAAAACACTTCAACACCATCGCATTGTGCAGTCTCATACATCAACCCCACTCCAAATAACTTGGGAGTAGGAGCAAGTGGATTGTTGTATAGGCTGCGATAAGCGAACGTGGCAGGTTGTTTTAATTAAATCTCCTTACGATACTTAGAACATGGTGAGAGACGATTCAGATGCTATCTATTGAAAACGTCAACCTGATTGTTTGTTCCAGAAAAATAATAGACCAATTTATTTCGGTAAATTAGTTGCAGGTAAAATGAAAACCCCACAGTTCAATTTTGTTAAGAGCAATATCGTACGTCATAGCTCCCTTTGGTAATCTCCCACTTTACCATTTGTTAACAATTAATAATTATAGCTGAGTCACGATGCGACAGTGCTCAAAATGCGCAATACACGAAGTTCTGAGTTCAAAGCCTGCTCAGGAGTCCACTCAGCTTATGAACGCTCCAGGGTGGAATAAGTGAGCGTCACTTTGTAGGAAGTCAACAGTGGTTGTGCCGTGGAGAGACTGGTTCCCGCCATAGTAATGCAGAATTTCCACGCTGTCTTCAAGACAACAAAAAATTCGAGAGCACGACTAAATCACCCTTAATATGCATTTGATGTCGTGAACCTCAGAAGCCAAGCAGATTTGAGTATGGTAAGAACTTTAATGGGGAAGCAATTTAGGGCTTGCCATGTGTTGTAGGCTTGGGGCTGTGAGGTGGGTATGAGATGCCAGTAAAACAATGGGTTTGGTCGACAGAGAGATGTAATCCACTCGACAGATTGAATCTATCTGTATAGGAATATTGGTGTTATTCACTCAAATGTGAGAGTTTTCTCTGGGCACTTTGTTTCCTCGCACATGAAGCCAACCACTTTTTAATGGACTCGGTCAAACTCTCCACTGTAACATCGACGAGAAAAAGAACCCTGTGGCTAATTGAGGCTTTTTTGTCATATCAACTGAGACACTTTGATTTGTGACGTGTCCGTATGATGGCCTTGGGAATGCATACTTTCCGTCATAAGGGTAAACCGTTGCTATTCATCCATCGACATCGTGAGTGGAATTATACCTGGACCGTAGAGGAAGTCGCCTGCGATCTGGTAGGGCTGCATCTTGGCTTCGGAAATCTTGAAAACGACCAATTTCTGCCGGTCGTGCGCGCTGAGCGAGATCGTCTCGGTGGTGAGGCACGAGTACGAGTGGCCCATGGGCGTCAGGAAGAGCGCCATGTGTGGGTTGCTGATCGCGGTGAACTTGCCGACTGCTCAGACAACACGCAGGACAGTCGTCATCGGCGTCGTCATCACCAACAACGGATGTATTATAACGCATAGGAACCCGCCAGAGACGGAAGGAACGAAACGTTGTTTTTTTCCACCTGCCCAATGGTATCCCCCGCTCACAGGCTGCACCGAAGTTGGGGTTTGGCAAGAAGCGGGGGTGGGAGGGAGGCAGGGCACTCTCAACCCTCCTACTTGGCAGACTGGTCGTGGGAGGTGACAAACAATAGACCTCTAGCTCCCCACTATAATTTGCTATTGACGTGGGAGTATGTATAAGCCGATTGCCTTAATTTCAACTTCTATTATATATTGATATTAGCACATTGTCCTGAACATAATATCGATGTTACACTTTGAAAGGCGGGCTTCTAAGGAAACAAAAAAAACGGCTCCGCTCATTTGGAGTAACTGCAGCCGAGAGGGTCACAGATGAACAAACGCACACAGACCAGGGCATTCGTACCCGCGTGTTTCGCGTGTTCACCTCGTCTGCGTCATGTCCTGTCCCCTCGGCTCTAAGGGGTTTAAGGTCGACAGCGTAAATGCATCTGCTACGTCCGTGCGTTCATCATTTCGTTTTCATCCTTGCGAGGACAAATTAACGATTGAAAGCACTACAAAAGTCCGTGCGTTCGCGTTATTTATTCGTCCGCGTATTCTACTTAGCATCTGCGGCGTCGCCGCAGTTACCCCTCGCTCCTTAAGGGCAATCCTCGCGCACCAGTTCGAGATCAAAGCCGAGGCCCCTTTTGAAGCCATGGGAAGGCTTTGCGATTCAGCGAATCCACGGTTCCTTACCGTTGACGGCGTCTTTGAAGTGCGCGCTGTCGGAGGTGTCATAGGTGAATTTAATTTTGCTGACTTTCCAGAAATGCTGCTGCCGTCTCTTCGTAACGTTGCGGGTCTCCTGTGTGCGTGACACGGTCACTCGGTGTTACTGTGGCGCAGCGACCAGGGGTAATCTTCGCCACTAACCTTTTGCCCGTCCAAGGACGGGTGTATTGCAGTAAATCTGAAACTAGCAAGCAAAAATCAGACCGCGACGTGATATATTCATTGCATCCATTCGTGTGCAATTTGTAAGGGCGCGGTGACACAGACCTATTTAATCTTAAGGTTACAATCCCTTGTTCATCACGACGTCCTTTTTACTTCGATGTCTCAACAACAGCGTTACGGAGATCACGTGACGTGAGGGTTCTGCCTTTGTAGTGAGGGTTGTGAGCTGACGCTGAGGAGGGGGGAGGAGGCGCCTCGCCCCCCCCCCCTTGTGGAGTGACGTCACCCGCTAATTATTATGAATGGGGGGGGGGTGTCCATTTGGAAGACGTCACCTCTTCATGATTATTAATGAGGGGGGTGTTCGATGTAGAGTGACGTCACCTGTTCATGATTATTAATGAGGGGGGGGGGTCCATGTGGAGGACGTAACCTGCTCATGATTATTAATGAGGGGGGCTGGCCGACGTGGAGTGACGTCACGCGTGGGACACACAGACATTCTTGGCTCATTGTAGTCGTAAATACCATCGCGTCTTCTCTGCGCTCTGAACCCGTGCGAGAGCTGAGTTCACCGCGCCAGAGATCAAAGCATCGTAAAGACGCATTCTCGCGACGCGCTAAGCACATCACCGGGGCCGTTTCTTTTCTCAGCCTTTGAACAACAAACGGGAAATAAAATTCTCCAGTGCGTAGCTCTCCGATGTGTGGTCCTCGCGAGCTGGATCGAAACGTCGGGCAGCGTGCCGAACGACTCAGCACATCCGTGACACACACACAATGGTGTCCTTCCAAAAATGCAACCATAATCGTTTCCACATAACGGGAATGTCTATGCATGCATTTACAATAATAATCGTACTATAATTTGCAGACCGTTGTCAATCTACTGAAGGATGAAGGTTCTCCCTATGCCCTATCGGATCAGGGATTTGTTTGGCTATACTTCACCACGCTGGTTAGTGTGCATCGGTGAAGGTGGCGGGACCAAGGATCGGTTCTGATATATCGCCACTGACGTTAGCCGTGGCCGCAATAATCGAGCTAAGATCACTGAATGGGTTCGTAGCAGTGCGCTAACCACTGCGCCACCGTTCACCCAATGCTTGTTAATGATACTGTCACGCAATTTTTTTTAACTTTCGAACGTGAATGTGAAACAATGGAGAACATGATTGCATGGATATTAGTAAATTCCCATTGGTAACGGGCACTTGCAGCTCTTGCAACTAATAATTAATGTCATGTATTTGGATATTGACCGTATTCATAATTATAACGTTACGTGCAATGACTACCGTATCATTATTAAGTGTCAGGGTGAATTATTGTGCGATCTGTCTGTTCTTACTATAAAGATTTGTACCGGAATAGTTTAGCGTGCGGAATTACTAACCTCGTGTGCCGCATCAAACTGGGTTGATGCAATGATCGTCTCTCCACGTACACGCTTTTGTTTTTAGTATTTGGTTACAGGCAACCGATCGGCCACACGACCTTACTGGGGGAATGGCATTGTGTTAGCAGCATTGGCTTAATACACGCAGACACTGGAGCGGATTCGACATTCAGTGTCTCATCAGCAGAGTCAGCCTTGTTTAAAATAGATCGCTCGACGGAGGGCCTGACTCTATACTCTAAACCAGGAGTCGGCAACCTTTCAAAGAAGAAGAGACATTTTTTGTTTGTTTTTGTCTTCCACTAAAATAGTTTCGAGACTCGCATCACGCGCAGAGCTACTTGTACACAAACAAAGCAGACATACGGCAGATGACAAACATATTCTGACTCAAATCAACAGAATAGGTGATGGAATAAACTGCGTCAATTTAGTGCTTTTTTTTACGCCCTCTTGAGTTATTCATTAACAATACAGGTTGACTACATTTTGTTGTCACCAAGACATTCCATAGTGACCCATTCCATGCCATATTTAATTAATTATCTTGACGTTAAATTACGTTCAAGATTTAAGTAAAGTAAAAAAAACGGCTGCCCGCGATGGGGGCAGCCAAAGAGCCGCAAGGGGTCAGCCAAAGAGGCGCATGTGGCTCCAGAGACGCAGGTTGCTGACCTCTGCTCTCAACGCAACCTGTCTCGCGACTGGATTGTTCAGCCTCGCGACTCGATGGTTTCCTATGTCCAAGCAAGCGAATTCGTTAGTTTGTAAATCTGCTCAAACTAGCACGCTATTTGAAAATTCATCCTAAAAGTTGAGTTAGTTTCACGTCTCTCATCTTAGTTGCGCTGTATATACTGTATGTTATAGACTTTTTGGCAATTTGACACCCGACTCTTCCGACCCACCTGACTCGTAGAATGTAAAGAAACGTTTGAATGAAATGCGGCGCATAACATGAATACGAATGAACAACACTTTTGTCAAATTTTGACTTAAAACTTTCGTGTCTGCAGCAATTAATATTCTTTGGTTCTTTCGGTAAAGTCACGTAGATAGAAAAATAATGAAAATAAAAAAACAACGACGTTTCGATCGCAACACAAGCGGTCGTCATCAGGAAAAGGGGGAGGGGGGACGAAGGCCTCCACCTCTCACGATCCTGCGATGTAACTATTCACATCGCACCCGCACGCCACAAATTCTTTTTTTTAATAAAGATCCACATCACGCCATCTAGCGCCATGTCCTGTCCAAGCTAGTTTGAACGATGTCATTAACCTGGGTATGTTCTCGAATCAACACGTTCATCTTTTTACCGTCTCTCAATGTAATTCCACGCATGCATCTCGCCCGCACGCTTGTTTGCGCACTGACACGTGAATCAATACATCCCGATGGATGGATGGATGGATTTGTGCACGAAGCACTGGGGCCAACGCGCGGTAGGAGACCTTGTCAAAGTAGAGCTTGAGTATGTAGGAGTCGTCGCTCCACGAGATGATTATCTCGGGCTGTGCGGTGGCTCCCCGTGCACACCGGCCCTTCACCTGCGCGTTCCCAGGCATGGACACGCTGGCTTGCTCGGTCACCAGCTGCGCGCCCACACGCGCACACGGGACCCACCGGGTCTCATTTCAGAGGTGTGACACGCGTGCGGTGCGGTTGGCCGGAGCTGGGAGCTGCAGCAGTCGAGGCGTCACACTCACATCTCCGCTGAGCCGTGCCAAGGTTACAACAACAACAACAACGACAATGACAACAAGAACATTTGTTAGATTTCTATTCGGGGCCAATATAAAGAGGTCATCACGGCCGCCACTCCCGTTGATGTGACCACACCTCAATATAGAGTCGCAGAGGTGCCAGGGTTGGTGCTTGCTAGAGCGCTCGAGGTGTCACACTCACATCTCCGCTGAGTTGTGCAGTTTGTTACTAAATTCAGAGTCAAGGTCAAGAGGTCATCGCGGCCGAGCCCCCGTTGATACCACCAACACCTCGAGATTCAGAGGTGACTGCCGCATGTCTCTGCGACACTCGCGTGGTGCACGGCTGGAGATGGTAGCTGAAAGCGGTCGACGAGTTGTCCCACTCGCATCTCCGCCGAGTAAGTTTCCCATGAAAAAAATATATCGTAATTTTTTTTGCCCAGGGTGAGCATCAAGAAGGCAATAATGTCCACCTCATCGTGCTGTTGCTTCTCACCTACTGCTCGATCGCTGTCAGCGGCGAGGTGAATTATACTTCAAAATCACCAGAATGCGCTTGATCTCGCCAGATCTCGGAAACTCACCGGGTTTTATCCTGGTTTGTACTCGAGTAGGCAACCCCCATAGATCAGGCAAAGAAATTAAAAAAACTATAACTGCTCTAACATAGCTGCAGCATCCCAGGCTTCGCCATAGCCAGTGGTTACATAATTCGCAGTGGAATTCATTTGGTTGAATAAAAGACATGGACTCGCTGCAGTGTCCCACGCAGATTAGCTGACCAAACTTTGCATGACCTGTCATTTTGACGTCGCATCATATAAAAAAATAGTCGCGTGCAAATGGCAAAAAAACGGATCAAAAGAAAATTCCGGATAAATCCAGTGATGTATACCTGCATGGCAGGCGTGCTTTATGCAATATTAACATGAGAATATTGTGCAGCCCTTTGTCAATCTGTTGCTGAAGAAAGGCCGCCCACCCCGTGTCGGTCATGGAATTGTGTTCGACCATATTTCACCACGATGGTCATTGTGGGTTGGTGAAGTGCGTGTTGGGGGGGGGAGGGGAGGGGCAATAAAACCAATTTCATATTTTACTCGCCACAGATGTTATCCGCGGCTAGGAATCCAAATACTCACATCGCTGGGTTAATCGCGCAGTGTGCTAATTACTGCGCCACCGCCCCACCTCTCATCCTCAGCCATAACGTTAGGTCCGCGCCATAATTAACATGGGACTGCGGCAATTAGTCGCGGGACAGAGGAACGCTAGTTCAAGGGTTCTCCTCAACCGGATAGACAGTGCTTGAAGACAACAGCATGCTTCATTTTAACGGGACGTTGTTCCGGGGATATTCGTATTTTGTCACGCCGAATCCATTTCGCCTTATTTTGTCAATCTACATCCTATAAACGTCTTCATACGATTACAGGAATACAGGATATATATTTTTTTATAAAAATGCGTACATAATACTTTCGTTATAGTGCCATATGCCAATAATCACTACAGTACTCCCAAGCAGCTGAGCAGCGTTCGGGAATATATCGAGTGATAAACGATCGCCGGGGTAGCACGTACATCCACGTAGTTGCTCGCCCAGGTATCGTAAGGGATATGGAACCTTGCGGCGAATTCCACCATCAGGCAAGTGGTCTCGTTTTCTCGCACGGCAAAGATGTCCTTTCCGGGTATTTTAGCCAGCCCAGACAGATTCTCAGTTTCCTCTGCTCCGGATCCTGCACAAAGACAGACGGGAATTATATTAGAACGCTACGTATGAGTTTTTTTTGCGGTAGTGTTGATGTGTTTTCGAGAACTGATTACAGTTCCTAAATAAGCTTCCAGAGCGTGAAGCGAAACGTTGGACATCATGCCGAAACAACCCGCGGTGCAACCGGGAAAAAAAACGAATCCGAAACGCATAGAGTCATAGACCTTTGTCGTATTTCCCCCCTACAGAATTGTACGAGCTGAGTCCATCAAACTCAAATTATCTCAGCGCGTTTTTTAATTGCTGATTCGAAAGTATAACCTGTCAACTTTTTGTTTTGTTAATATTCAGTCGAGTATACTTTTAAAACGCATCATCTGCACCTCTCTAATTAAGGCAAGCAGAATTCCTTCAAGCTAAAGCGACCACACATGAGTGTACGAGTGCACGTCTCTGTGCATTGCACTGCAAACACAGGTTTGGATATTCAGGTGGTGCGCACGCTGCATCAATATGCATAACACAGACCACAGAACCACGCGCTGCAAATTACAATAGAGTACTTACCACAAGCCAGGAATGAGAGAATGTTCACTCCGAGTGCAAACAGCAGACGACTGCTACCTTGTACAATTTCTTTCCCGGCCATGTTTTCTCAAATAAAAAAACCCGCACACTAACCCACAGCAATCTCCTACACGAAAATAAATTAACAAAAAAATATATATATATTCTTTACTCGTTGCAAATCTGAAAGCAAGCCGTCTTCAGCGGGTGAGCAGATGAAAGCTGCTGAGTGCGTCTGCCGGCAAAGCCATGGACGTGCTGGGGGCGTGGGGCGGGGTGCGAGGATTAACCCTTTCCCTGATGGTCGCTCTCGCAATAATAAGAGCGTTTTGCTCTCATCACCATCATCATCATCATGTGGTTCAGTCCGCATACAGAAATTCCTGCGCGTGCTGGAGAGGCGGTTCCAACCAGAGAGTCGGGCGTGCACTGAAATCCCAATGCATCCGACAAAAAGATAAAGAAGTTGTTAGGGAAAGTGTTGTTAGCGAGCACCTACGAAGGCCGGCACGGCACACGAGGGGATGCGGGTGGCCTGTACCACGCCCGGCCGCCTTTGTCTCCCCAATGGCGGTGTTTCTACGTCGCCCCGGGTACTCATTCGAGGCTGAGTAGACCTAGGGAAGGCCCAGGGACTGGTTCAGACATGTGTCGCTGGTGTTGGCCGCGAGCGGGAATCGAACTCGGGTGGCCGAAGTCGTAGCGCAGCGCGCTAACCACTGCGCCACCGCTCCCCACAATGCATCATCATTATCATCATCATCATCGCACACACACGAGAGTCTCGGTGCTTGCAGTGCGCGGCGCATGAGCATGGCCGTGCATCGTAACGTGTCTGCTGCGTGCCTGCGAATTCCGTCACCGCGTCGCGCGCGGGGCCCGGTGTTGCTCGAAAGGGACGCGACTCCGTTTGTTGGTGGAGCAAATTGGGTTGTGGCGAGACGCGTGTAAGGAATCTTCAAGGTTTGCCGCGCAACGAAACGCGCGCAAGTCTTGCCTCGTGGGACGGTGCCGACGCAACGGATACATATGTCGCAGCAGCAGCAGCAGCGGGATTAAGAAATTGTTTAAAATAAATATTTCATTTAGAAGTTTATTTTCGAAATTGTTCACGTGTAGACATTAAGGTCAAATGTACGCGTACTTAATAATTGTTTTTTTCTTTGCGAAATACGTGAACGAGATCAAATAGGCGAGCTGAATTCGTCTTCGTTTTTGTCGATGTTATACGACGTCCATTGGAGATTCATAATACGCCAGGTAGACAATTTGGAGTTGCTTGTTAAACATTCCGCTTGATAGTTACAACGCGCGAATACGTCAGGCGAGATGGCCTTTTAAAGACACAATTACACAGCCTGTGCGTCGAGATTTTTACGCACATCCGAGTGTACCCGAAGATCGTGCGCGATAATTGTTCTCCGCTCATTCTTCAGTCTACTGTCTTGGTCTCGAGATGGGCACTCTGCATCGTGCCCCAACATAGCGGGGATGGTAGCCATCCACGTGAATTGAAACAATTGGGATCTTGTTTTCTCGAGTTTTATTTGTCAGCGTTTGAGGCCTGCCGGTTTGTACAATGTACTGGGAAAATCGTTCTTGCAGTCATCGGGATGACAATTGCTATTGCTGCATTTCATTTCTTTGTGAATACACCGCAAACACGCGTCCCATTTGCTGCTCGAAGACGTTGTTGTTGTTGTTGTATTACAGCGTGAAGGATAGCAACGGACGATTCGTGTTAAACTATGTAATTAGCACGCTTAGCTGTTAGTTTAGTTTATGTATGTTAAACTTCAATGAGCACCGTTCCGTAGCCAACCGTGCTTATGATTCGTGTGTGGTTCAAACGTTACTTCATTCGTGTGATGCTCGCTTTTCAATTGAAAACGCCATCGTATGCAACACGTACAATGTATGTTCATCACAACGGACAAATATTCACGTGTACATGTATTGCATTTGTTGTATTAATTGAGCGGTAATCCTCTACCTACAGACTATCACGCACATCTATTGACAATCTCACCGCAGTTATCGATATAGTGTGTACATTTTTTTGCTTTTATTATTTTAAATTAATTTGTAATTTTATTTAACTATGTTAAATTTTCATCGTGTTTTTTTTTGCTTTTAGTATTTTTCAATTTATTTGTATTTTTTCTATTTTCATTTTCTTTTCTTATTTTTATTTTCTATCTACGTGACTTTTCCAAAAGGACCAAGAATATGTAGTGTGCAACATGCAGGAAATATAGATACCCGTACGTCGAGTTTATGCAATGCGACAACAACGTGAGAACGTACACGTTGGTACACTTTTGTGGTCTCGCAAGAATGTGTCACCGTGTGTGTGTGGGGAGCGATAGTGTAGCGGTTAGCGCGCTGCGCTATGAACCTGGCGACCCGGGTTCGATTCCCGCCCATGGCCAACACCAGTGACGATTATCTGAACCGGTCCCGGGCCTCCCCTAGGTCGACTCAGCCTCAAATGAGTACCTGGTGCGGTGTGTAAACATTGCCACTAGGGAGACAAAAGCGGTCGGGCGTGGTGCTGGCCACCCACCCCCTCGTGTACCGTTCCGGCCTTCTTAGGTGCTCGCTAACAGCACTTAGCCCCTACAGGCTGTTAAGGCTATATGGGGGATCTTTGTCTTTGTATGTGTTTAATCTAACGTTGTCCCCGACGTGTGCTCAACACGTCGTTTTTTGCCGCGTCAAGATTGCTGCAATGCAGAGTTCTACGCGGTCAGAGGGAGCGTTCGTCCGTACCACGGCGGGCGGTGCAGGATTTATGTTCAAGTAAAATGAAATATTTGCCCGTGACCAAATCACCCGGATTTGAATCCCACCGATCTCGTTAGATCTCGGATGTTGGAGCGGGGTTGAGCCCGCGTTTTGCTTGATAGGTTTAGTTCATTGTCCTTCCCCCACAACCTCCGACTAGGCACGGTGGGCTACGTACGGTGCGAAAGAAGTTCAGCGTACATAGGATACCGAACTGGTGACCAATAACGCACGCCAGGTTGGTGGTGTCATAGGGGGGCTGCGGAGCATTGCTACGAGGCGGGAGCTGTGCTTCTATGCTCCCCGCTTCCAGCCCGCGCTGAACAGACTTTGGTGAAATCGTAGGCGTGATGGAGATGCCCTCAAACAGCGGTGGATTGACAAAAAGGAGCCGTATATATGAAAGCAAATAGAAATATTTTTTGTTTACCAAGACCCCCCCAACGTGCAATGCTAAACTCTTCACGATGACTTCTCGTAATTTGTTAAATAATCTATAGTGCATTTCCAACATTGCTGCTTTACAGTGACACACATCGTGTATCAAGGGCCAATACCCTGGGCTGTACGATGCAGGGTCAATATTACTTCTAGCAGTTTGAGTACAGGTTCAACGCCGTAGCAATACAAACATACCTCAATAAGGTGACATTCTCTGACATTTCATATCTCGAGGCGTGCGACATACAATGCAAGGCAGGATGTGTGCTTATTAATAGCAATAACACACAAGCTATTTGTCAAGTCACTGCCGAATTAAAGCCTCCCCCAACGTCGTGTCTGTCCGTGGAGGTTTGTTTAACCATACTTCACGTCGGTCAGTGTGGAATTGGTGATATGTGTTAAGGGGCCATCCATTGAGTACGTACGTCAAAAATTGTCAAAACTTGACCCCTCCCCCCCTCCCTGTACGCACGCGAACTTTCTACACTCCCCCCCCCCCCCACCTGCGTACGTTCGCTAACGCCCCCCCCCACCCCCCACCCCCCGAATCCTATAGAACGGCCGATATTTTATCCACGCAGAAACGATCAAGGATTAATAATATTAACGTGTTTAAGCAAACAGATTTGAAGGCTAATGTAGACAAATTATTATCCAGGCGTAACCCCCCCCGCCCCCCCCGTTTCCTATGCGTACTAACAATGTCAGTAGACCCCCCCCCCCCATACGCAAGCGTACGCATTTGGGTGAACCCCCCTCCCCCCTCCATGCGTACGTGCTAAATGGATGGCCCCGAAGAGCGTGGGGGGGGGGGGGGGGGGCAAGGTGCTGGTTGAGGCAATCACCCGCGGATGATGTTAGCCCCTGTCTGGGAATCAAACTCAGCTGATTGTGGTCATAGCGCAGAGCGCTAACCACTATGCCATCGCTCCCCACCTCCGAGTGTCGATTCATCGTCGTCATACACACGGCCAATGCACTGCCGGAGTAATGCGTGACAGTGTGTTTATTCGACTTTATAAACATCGACGCATACGTCCACAATCTCATTGCATCACACGTATTTAATTGCACCGCACACAAGGCAATGGCTGCGTATGAATGCAGGGAACAAAACGTGAGCGAATTGAGCAATGTATTTCGCAACGCCGTGAGCACGACTTGAATAGAATGCAGAGAGCACGATGTCCGAGAGTAGATTCCTATGTGTACGGGTCGCTATGTGTACATACACAAGATATCCTGGGGAAAACGTGTACACGCAGTTGGTCTGTGGATATACGTTGTGTGTATCTGCATGGGTTACTTTGGCGAGTTCATGTAACTCAACAAGGCAGTGGCTGCCGCTGTATACAGATGCGCACGCAAAAATCTGCAGTGAGTGAAATTCATGCTCATTTGCTTGCGATTTAGCTGTAGGCTATATCCAGACAATAGCGTTTCATCGAAGTTGGTAATTAACAATAATAATATCAATACACCTAAAACGATCAAGCATTTTGGAAATCCACTGCTGGATGAACCTCCCAGCCACCTCCCCGCACCCACGTTTTGTCGGTAGCCGGCGATTTCAGACTCAGTCCTGGGTCCTGCATCGTTCATTTTTCACGAACCTGCACTGACCAGCGTGGTGGAGTAGGGTCCAACAACAGCCACGACCGACACGGGGCGGGGAACACAACTTCATCCAGCAGTGGATTAACAAAAGGCTGAACGTTAATTGAAATCCATACACTTATGTATAGGGCAATTATGCGGTTATTTTAGCTCCGGTACGTGAGGTCACGCTATGCAGCTTGAGTCCCCTTGGCCCCGAATCACAGATTATAATTGTACGTACCACCTTGAGATAACAACACTTGAGTTGTGCCAAGCTGTTTATATGACCCCCCCCCCCAAAAAAAAAAACGCGAATGACGCAATCATATTATTTAATAAGTGTTCTGGCCCTTGGACTATTGACACCACGAGGCACTGCGAATTTAAGACTCCAAGCACGGCGTCTCATCCGCCGTGGATTGCCCGCCGCTTTATTCCCCGTGACGATGGTCAAAGGCAGCAAGGAGCGGGCGGGCGGCGACTCTCGACACCAATACAGGAAGCGTCACGATCTTAGCGGGGCGTGAACATTGCCGCAATGGGCTTTGTACGCAAAAAGTTTACCGACTATTTGAATTCAGTCTGACTTCGACTTGACAGCTTTGCACGGGCGCAGCGGTGTCTGGCAGAGTAACGGCAACCGGAGACATTAAGACTGCGTAGGTTTTCGATGGTCGCGCTGGACAGCACTCTGGTGTGTGTGTGTCTTGTAACGAGCCTGAAGAAGCTCCCAGCACGAGCGTCGAAACGTCGGACATCGTGCCAAGGAAAACAACACGGAGGTACAACCGGATACAGCAAGTTGGAGAGCGAAGTTAAGATAGGTAAGGCATTGCGTGGCATGTTCAAATTCGAAGTGAAAACATTTCATATTGTACAACAATCTTGTTCATAGCCGTGGGGGGCGCGGAAGGGGGTGGGTGGGGGAGTTGTCACTGGGGGGTTGGGGGAGAGAGAGGCACTCTTGTCTTTTGCCTCTCGCTGCTCCTCCACATCGATCACTTGTCGGCACGAACGTCGCCTGCACTGAAGTAAGAGCACGGACTCGTGTTTGTGTCCAGCTCCATGTACGTTTCCTCTTCCCCTTCTTCGTCGTCACAGCGCCTCTTGCTCGCATTCACGAAGGCGCCCAACTCTCTCAACTCTGGTCCATCGTCCACGTCGTCCCCATCATAATCATCTCCCTTCTCGCTCTTCTCTTCGTCCGCACCAAACCTGGACGATGACTCCCCCTCGCTCCCGTCCGCGCCCGCCGACGCGCATCGCCGCGGCTCTGCGGCCACGCTTTGCTCCTGCAGGCCGAACCTCTTGAAGGCTCTGAGCAGAAACTGGAGCACGTCCCTCTGGCCGGCCCTGCTGGCGTGCGCGATGGCGCTGCGCCCGCCGTGGTCGGAGACGCGAGGGTCGGCCCCGCGCTGCACCAGCAGGCGCACGGCGTCCAGGTGTCCCCTCTCGCTGGCGTGACTCAGCGCGGTGCGACCCTCGCTGTCCTGCGCGTTCACGTCCGCGCCGGAGTCGAGAAGGAGACGGAGAAAGGCGGCGCGGCCCGAGTCCAGCGCCGAGGCGGCGTGGGTGAGCAGGGTCTGGCCAGAGGCCACCTGTGCGTCCACGATCCTCCGGTCTAACGCGTCGAGGATGAAGCGGGCCAAATGCAGCTTCCCTTTCCCCATGGCTTCGAGCAGCGCCTGTGTGCCGCTCTGCTCCAGGACTGATTGTCGCTGTCGCATCATGGCTGTGTGATTCGTTGGGCCACTTGCTCGATGGTCGTGTTGATGAATGGCAGGTTGTGTTCGTCTTCTCTTCCTTTCGTTTGGTGGTGGGGAAATTGATCAGCAGCAGCAGCACGTGTTTATGTTCATGTCGAGGTTGGTGAGTGGGGACGGCTTCAAAGGTGGCCTGATGAATGTGTGAAACTTCTGCCAGCGAATGATCGAAACGGGCAGTGTTGAACTATTAATAGGTGTAATATATGTGTGCGATTAAGTTAAAATAGTCCACCTACGAATGGCAGAGAGAGACAGATAGAGAGATAGGGAGGGAGCTATATAGTCCAAGAAGCTGTAACTGCGTGTGGCCAGAGCTTACGTCTCTCTGCGTTGGCTGGGGCAGAAATTCAAAAGTCTGTAAAAATATATCGTGCCCTTCATTATTCGTGTTGCTAAGGTGAGTCCCCTTGGTGATGCCGTGTGTAACAAGACCCGAGAACATGACGCATGCACGCTGTTTTCTATTACAAAAAGGGCAAAATACAAGCAAGCGTGTTCTCGTCGGCTCACTAAATTAACAGCGGGGTTGTAATTTTTTTTGTATTGAACTCAAATTTGGTACCGTGGATATTATAAACATTTGCCAGCATGTATGTTATAGCCATATATATAAAATATTCAAGTAAAAATGTGTACGATTTGGTTTTGCAAAAATGTGCCACTTTTGCGTTGATTACATGCGGCAAGCAACTTAACAATTCGTTCAGCCTCTGGGGTGCGTCTGACGCACACGTGTGAGTCGCGAATGAGTCTCCGGGGCGGGTGGGTCCTCGTGTACGAGCGGTGCTGACGGTAATCTTCTTCTTCTCTCGTATGGCTGGTTTACAGGCAGAGCAACAACTACAATTTTATATTTAGCTGGCCAAGCCAGACCAACGGAGTCACGATGAGCGGAGTGTATCGCTGTGATTTCTCCGCCGATGATGACGCATTGGTAATGGGTAGGGGCGTGGTCACAGAGTGGAAGTGATTAGACGAACCCAGAGAGAGACCCGCGTTCATCCTACGTGTAATTATTCAATTTATACGGATTTTGAGGAGGTGGACAGACCAAGTGCCCTGCATACGCTCGATAGCTTAAACTATAGTTTGAAGAATAACGAGTCGTCAATGTGTATTATTCTTGTTTGGAAAATGTTTTCACAGACCTATACGTCTAATAATACATTCATTCGTATTTAAAAAAAAAAAACTTGAATCATTCACGATCTTTTTTCAGGTTGAGTAATATTCTGCACTTTACAGCAATGTCAATTCTTTGTTTTGCTTAATTAATTCGCATGCTCTGAATTAAGGGTTGGAAAATGTCATGTTAGGTTGCGTACACACGTGTACATGTATATCCAATTGCGTATTTAAGCCATTGTTGTTTCTCTGCAATGCTGCGGTGCATTTTTCACGTGGGAACCAACCGCATCATCATCCGCATCATCATCCTCCGCATCATCATCATCATCTGCATCATCATCATTGGCTATGTCAATAAACGATGGGCGATGATAAAAAAACAAGATTAACGAGAATGCCAAGTATTGCATTGTAATCGGTCACTCTAATCCTGCTCTTTGTTTGATAGAGCATCGGGAGTCGACGCTGCAGTAAGCGTCGCAATGTCCCCAGCATGGTGTGCGTGTAGTTAGGAGCTTTTGTATAATCACGGTTGTTAATGTTTGGACAGTCGCTTGATACACGACGAGATGTACCCCCACTCAGATCCAGCGATCCTCCACCAGCTTCATGGCTTTCGCGAGTCTCAAGAATATGTGCAAATGCTTCACAAGGTATCTTCCCTGATTGCACAAAACGAATACTTAACGATGAATACTATATCTTGTCTACGTTCACAACGTTTATGTGGTGTGCATGGCGCGTGCGCGTGGAGGATATTATTTGCAAGAATGGGATAAACTCTCACAGATTTTTTTTTAAATAGTTGTTTTTTATATGTTGTACGTCATTGGTTGAACGCATTGCGAAACAATACCGCGTGCGTTCGTTCACACAGGAATAACACTGCGAATATTGGTTCACAGAGAAATAACACAGCGGGCACTCTGTGCGTATCTGTTTTGAGAGCTAACATATTGACTTATTTTTTATTTTACCAGGTAAGGCACACTGAGCTATACAGTTATTTTTTTCACCAATGACTTGGCCACAAATGATAGCTTAACGATGTGGATTGTCACGTGGAAATATAGAGCAGCTAGATACTTTAATGACTTGTTTCTAAATGTGGAGACCACGGGCAGAGAGAACATACTAACTCCAAATATAAAAACATCAGGGGTGCGGATCGAACTCACGACCTGTACATCAGGCGAGGTAGTTAACATCTTGCCACCGCGGCACCGCTATTAATAAGGCCACAAATGCAACTTAAAGTAGCTTAAACGATGCAACGTCTCGTTTGGTTTCCGGAATGGCATCGTTATGCCGAGACATTCAAGGGAGCTTACGGTACTGACAGTGTGGCTTCAAATGAATCCACATACGTAAGTTAATAATATGGCACTCTTTGGCTTTGGGTTATCTATCTTTGGACTCAGACGTTTCAACTATCCATTTTATATCCTACACATACGACATAGTTCATCCTCCACCTGCAGCGGGATAAATGATGTTCCTTTCCCTGGTCGCATCTGGATGAAGATCAATTGAAAGTTTCAAGACTATCGCGACGGTAGTTTATGTAAATGCGTCTATCCTGAATATGTGTGGCGGTGGTGTATATTGTCCTTAATAGGTGCTCGCTGAGAGCAGTTACCCCATGAGTCTGTTCAGGTTATATGGAGGATCTTCGTCTTTGTGTATGGTCTACAGCTCCTAACGGTCAACACGCCTCCATAACATGCTGTGTTGTGTGTGTACGCCCTCGACAAATGTAGCTGTCGGGACACGCGTTCAATATTCATCTTGGCTATGCGTTGTCAGTGTCACTTGTCATTAGGACGAGCTTCAGGTCCGGCTCCAGCTCTTCTTGGATGGGGGGGGCAGGGTGGCACTGTAATCGTGATGTTCACCACCACCACTCCTAAGAAGCGGAGTGAACTTGCTTGGGCCAAAGCGGAATTTAATGTTTCAGGGCCCACCCCAGAGCCCCCAACGTGTGAGCGCTGGTCAACTTCCTTGCAGTGATATGTGCTATGGAGAAGGGCGATTGCCCGAAACGTCGCCCATAGATTGCCTCAAACGTCGACTATTGCTGCAAAGATCTATAATTTTAACGCAGTGTTATCAACGAACTTGAGGTTTTCATTTTTTGTTATTTTTTTTTCCCTTGCAGCGATTGTCTGTAACCAGCTGTGGCTAAATTGCGTGCCTCATGAGCCACACGCAGTCGTGTTAGTCTACATAGCAGCCAGGCTTTAATTTGAGATGGCGTCGTCCGGGACTGAGCTCTGGAAAATATTTCTCTGCCCCATGCCCCGACCCCTCACTTGTCAGGCGGCTAAGGGGTTGGAGTGCCCCAGAAAATATTCCATGAGAAATGAAGCCTTGAATTCTGTGATGTCCAATCAGAGATAACCTAGGCCTGGTGATCGGCAATACAAATCACAAGAAGAGACATTTTATTTTTCTAATTCGGTATACAAAACTTAAATGTTTCAAGAGTTGCAATGCACGTGAATATAAGAGACGGTGGGTGGTCTTTCATGAACAACGTCGCAAAGCAGTCCTTGAAGAGCCACATGCAGCTCCGGATCTGCAGATTGCCAACCCCAGATCGAGGCTATGATATCCAATTATAGTAATGATGTATAGTATAATCTACTATCTTGTGGCTCTCGGCCATATGAAGGTTTTGGTATATGGCACATAGGGTCAAGAAGTGTGGCCACCCACAGCCTATAATGTTTACGACCTTGGACGAGCCATTGGTCGCTGCATCGCGCGCTTTCAGGTGCGCTTCTGCGGCCGTCTGGAATTCTGTTTCGTCCGACATTAGCAAGCCACTGAAGCTGTGCACTATACAATGTGGATTGAACGATCTTTTCTTTATAACTGCTTTTTGTGCTTAGGTGTCTTTCCCCCGCACCTCCGATTATCACGGTTGGCTACACACGGCGCGAAAGAGATACAAAGAACAAAGATCCCCCATATAGCCTTAACAGACTGTAGGGGCAAGTGCTGTTAGCGAGCACCTATGAAGGCCGGAACGGTACACGAGGGGGTGGGTGGCCAGCACCACGCCCGACCGCCTTTGTCTCCCTAGTGGCAATGTTTACACACCGCACCAGGTACTCATTTGAGGCTGAGTCGACCTAGGGGAGGCCCGGGACCGGTTCAGATAATCGTCACTGGTGTTGGCCGTGAGCGGGAATCGAACTCGGGTCGCCAGGTTCATAGCGCAGCGCGCTAACCGCTACACTACCACACACACGTGCATGGTAGTGCTGGGGGGATGGGGGGGTAGGACCCAGTGAGGCTGGGGCACGAAGCATCACAAAGTGGCCCCCCTTGATTGGCGCTGCCGGTGTCCCCGCACTGACGAAGCAGGGTGCAAGCGTCGCCACGCGCCTCTTCCTTGCACCTGTCCGCGTGACGCATCCGGCGGAGGTGTTCCCGAGGAGTTGCTGGGAGACCGAGCGCCACGTGCCCCGCGGCTTTGCCCTTCGCGCAATCTGCAACGGGGGTTTTGTGGCAGTGGCTTTGGATCTCGTGGAGAGCAATGGGCGACCGCCGCGTTTGGCACCACGTTTAAGTGAAGGAAACGGCCACTCTGAAAACTATTTTCCGTAAAAAAAAAAAATCATAAATGAGAGTGAATTTCTTGCACATCACCATTACCAGAAAAAAGGTTACCATTTGAACCTGACTGGGTTTTGGGAGCAGCACCCCAAGAAATGATCAACACCTCCCCGTGCCTTTCTCTTTTTCAGTGCTGGGAATGACATAGATAATGCAAAACAAATATATGAAAGTCCATTAAAAAAAACCACATAGCTGAAAACGTTGTAGGGAACGTGCTTCTACGACCACTCTGCTCAGCGACAGTGTGATGTGGAACCGGTTCAGATGGCATGAGGGCCTTGACGCAAGAATCAAACTTGGGGTTCCCAGTGCTATTGTGCCACTGGACGAGTGTATCGTTTTTTGTGAGGGCTCTTTGCGGCTGTTGATAATTTTGCTTTGTGCATCGCAATGGAACTGAACGCTGCCAAGGGTATTTTGCGGAATACACGAAGGTATATCCGGACTGTAAAAAGCTCACAAAAATGGGAAATCCTTGACACAAGCAAAACACTGTTTTATTTTATACACGCTGTAACCCCATAACAGCGTAATAATGATCAATTCCATATACAACACACAAATGTAAAAAAAAGTAGTGCTGATACCATAACTTACGTTTTTTTTTCCCTTTTATTTCGTCAATTAAAAAAAAGTGTACAATACGGTTGGGAAGGGGCATAAGGGCGTCATGCTAGTGTTGCATAGAAAAAAAAATACACGTGTGTTACGATCACATTGCTCACACAAACCTTTATATACAGAAGAGACACGAAGCCACTGCCAATATTCACTGCACAAGCCCAATCAATTGCGTTAACACCAACACTCACCGAAGGCAGATAGCTGGCTAACGCGAAGAGCAAAGGATAGTTGCAAAGACCACACCATTATGCAAAAAGCCATGTTTGGACCCGTGCCCAATAAGATTGTGGTAGTAAATTTGAAACATTCACGTAAAGGTATGCAAAACACAGGTTACCCACCACAGAATACACGTGTGCACTTTATGGCACATTCGAAATCAGAAACGGCGACTCCCCAGGTCCTGTTCAGTGCTTACACCTAGTGTAACCTTTATTGGGGGTGCATACATCACACAGAGGTTTGTTTAACTATTTTAGAACGAAAAAAAAACTGTACAGTTACTTATACTATGCAATTATATTGGAAGCTCTTTGTACGGTAAAATTCTTAAAATGTTAATACGGATACTTTACCACTATAAAATTTCACCTTTTAAAACAGCAATACACTTTGTACATTTTAATTTCACAATGACGTCTAGAAATTATCGCCTGCCTTTTAACCGCTTTCCGTTATTAGTCGAAGAGCCCAGACCAGATATTTCGCTTGTCGATGCCAGCTGAGGTCGCCAATAACACAATAAGTTATGTGAAAACCACGTTAAGTTAGCGGGTTATCAAACAACGTTTTGCTACCTTAGGTGGTACCGATTTCTGCTCTGGAGCACGTGAACTTCATCTCACAATCCCTAAATATAACGTCAGAGTTAAAATCTTTTGGAATTTAGGCATTAAAAATGCATGTACAGTAGTATTTAATGTTACTGAGTTTTCAAAACGAATAAAATTCACTCAAATAAACTTCAAAAGGCATGCTCGACAGTGTTTCAGCGTGTTCTGCATC